GCTTCTAGTTAAAAGGTCTTTATAAATTTCCTTATATGGTGCTGAGCACTTATGAAGAATAAAGCAAGTATGGAATAAGGGAAAAACATTCGGCAACATCAGAAGCAGAAGTGTCGCGATCTGGCAACATTGAAACAAGTTTCGAGAAGGACCACATGTATCGACAGAAGGCAAGAAGAGAAAATTTACATACTTAAGTACTAATAGTTCACGAAAATAATAATTTTCATGAACTATTATTACTTAAGTATGTAAAAATTTATTACATTTCCTGTTGTACAAGTGCTTTACCCAATTCTCGAACTGTGTCAGAGTGAATCCGTGCTATAAAAGTACCGTGTTATACGGGGGATGGTACCAATTCTCGAACCGTTAGAGTGAATCTGTGCTATAGAAGTGCTGTGTTATACGGGGGTTTCCTGTATTCTTACCAGACAGAATACATTTCATACTGAACTTGAGATGCTCTATGAATATTTTGTTAAGATAGTTTAAATTACAATTTAATTTACCAAAGCCAAACAATTGCCGTAATGCATTGGACTGTTTTTCGCTACTATTAATAATTAAATTTTAAGTAATTTGTTATTAGCAGTAGGCATTAGGTGCAATCATTTCTTATTAAATTGAATAATTATNTATTATGAAAAATACTATGTATTTTGTCGGTTACATGTTGTATATTTCTTAATGCAGAGGCTATACATTAACCGAAAAAAATAATAATTTAATTTCAGCCTCCAAGCACAAGATCATCAAAAGCAGACAAGCATGGCTCTAATCTAAGGGTATGAAAATGTAGGAATAACCCTACCAAAATACATTTAAAATCATATGTAAAAATTGTGTACTTTAATGTTGGTGTTGTGATCCTGTAATAATGAAAATAACTGTTTTTTTTTTTTTTGGATATCCTTTAATTAAAAGAATGGAAAATTTTAAATGCATGAATTTTACCCTAACTTTTGTTTTTTTTTTTGAAATTGGTTTCAATGCATGAATGGTATGATACTTGTTAAAACTACAGTGGTACCTCAGGTTACGAACGCCCCAGCATACGAAATTTTCAGGATACGACATGAAATTCGAACATATTTTTGCTCCACGATACGAACAAAAACTCACCATACGACGTTACATTAGTTCGCATTTTTCATTTGTTTTTCTTACTACAGTTATTTTTTT